TAAATATATATCAAGTATTTTATATTTTGATTTAAAAATTCCATAGAGAAATTTATTAGAAATTCCAAGAAAAAATCGATCTTCAAGATTCAAAAAGAAAAATATCATACAAATTAATTCCAATGGTAATTTCAATAACAAAGACATGTTTAATTAGTATTATTCAAAAAGACAAAGTAAAATAGAATTATTAAATATCGATTTATTTTATAATGATAAATATTATTAATTTATTATAAATAATTAATACAAAATAAATATTATTACTAATAAAATAAAAATAAATGTTTATAAGATATTTATATGATAATAAATTTTTATAAGATATTTATATGATAATAAATTTTTATAATAATAATAATAATAATAATAATAATAATATAATAATCTTAAATAATTTCAAATTCATCAAATTCGATTTTTTTAAATAAACTATAATCAAATCCTATTTTAGTCATTAAAATAAGTAAAGAAATATCTTCTAAATCAATAATATCATCTAAAATATTATATTTAATATTAAAATATATTTCTATATAATTTCTATCTTGAAAAATATAAAGAATTTGAAAAATCCAAGATCTAAATTTATCAGATGTATCATTGTTGAGATAATAATGAAAAAATAAAAATAATCATTTAAAAAGATAATCTGGTAATTCATCTATTTTTTCTTTTAAAATAGGATTATTATTTTCTTTATTTTCTTTAAAATCATGTTCAATTTCTTTTTTTTTATATTCAAGAAATTCTTTTTCATCTTCAGTTGGATTTGATAATACTCTATCAAATTCATCAAAATACTTTTTATAATCTTCATTATAAATTATTTCTTGATCAATATCTTTATCGTTTTCAACAATATTACACATTTCAATAATTAAATTTAATTGTTTAATTTTCATTATTTCATCTTTAGTATATTCTCTATATGGAGTTTCATGTTTTATAAAACTAAAATCATCAATTTCAAATCCATCTAATTTAATAACTCCTGCTTTTTTATATTCGTAATATCTTTCTTTATCATAA